AAAACTCAATAAGCATATCCTTGGGTGAGGATTTAAAAAGAAAAAAGAATTGCAAAGAAATTTTGAAATACTATGAATAACTTTATGCCAACACATGGGACAACTCAAGGGAAATGGAGAAGTCTTAGACAAGTTACCAAAACAGTCAAGAAGAAATAGAAAATTTTAATAGATCTATAACAAAGAAATTGCCTAAAAAGAAGATTCTTCTCCTGAAATAAAGCTCAGAACCAGATAGCTTCACTGGTGAATGCTATCAGACATTTAAAACCAGTCTTTCACAGACTGAGAAAATAGAAGAGTCTGAAAATACTTATTAGCTGTATGCTACAAACGAGGTCTCTTTATTACTCTGATACTGAAGCCAGACAAAACACAAGAATACTACAGACCAATATCCCTTGACTATAAATAGAAAAAAGTCTTCAACAAATCCAGCCACAAAATGAATTCAGCAAGGTTGAAAGATAAAAGGTTTATATATAAAAATTAATTACATTTCTTTTTCTAAAAAGATTTTATTTATTTTTAGAAGAAAAGGGAGAAAGGGAAACATCAATGTGTGGTTGTCTCTCATGCGCCCCCTACTGGGGACCTGGCCCACAACCCGGGCATGTGCCCTGACTGGGAATTGAACCAGCGACCCTTTTGGTTTGCAGACTGGCGCTCAATCCACTGAGCCACACCAGCCAGGGCTGATTGCATTTCTATATAGTCAATAAATACAGCAAAGAACTATCCAAAATGGAACTGATTTCATCCACAATAGCAACAAAAAGTTTAAAATATTTAGGAATGAAATTTAATAAAAGTGTGAGATTGTACCCTGAAATCTACATATTAAAGGAGATCTAAATAAAGGGAGAGACATTCCATGATCATGGGTCAGAAGATTCATTATTAATGTGGCAATCCCCATAAAAACCCTAGCAGACTTTGCTGGAGGAATGAACAAGCTGATGGTAAAATTTTTATGGAAATGCATCACACTCAGAACAGCCAAAATAATAGAGAAGATAAAAACAAATTTGTAGAACTGATACTTCCTGATTTCAAAACTTACTGTGAACCTATAATAATCAAGATAGCATTGTAACAGTATAAGGATATATCTATAGCTATATATCTTAGTGATACAATTGAGAGTCCTGAAATTAATCTTTACATTCATGGTCAGTTTGTTTCCTCAGAAGGAGGACAGTAATTTGGTGGGGGGAAAAAAAAGATTGCCCTTTCAACAAGTGAGGCTGGAAGAACTGGATATTCACATGGGAAAAGCTGAATTTAGCCCTGGATGGCATGGCTCAGTTGTTTGGGCGTCATCCCGCAAAGCAAAAGGTTTCCAGTTTGATTCCCTGTCAAGGTATATACCTGGGTTGTATGCCGACTCCCCAGTTGGGGCGCATGCAAGAGGCAGCCAATTGATGTTTCACACACTTAACTTTTCTCTCCCTCCCTTTCCCTAACTCTAAAAATAAATAAAAATATTTTTTAAAAAGTTCAACTTAGACCATTCATCACAATGTGCCATAGATCTAAATGTTACAGCTAAAATTATAAAATTTAGAAGAAATAAATCAGGTGCGAATATTCATGACCCTGGGTTTGATAAAGATTTCTTATGTACAGTATCAAAACCACAGTCCATAAAAGGTAAAGTTGGTAATTTAGACCTCATCAAAGTTAAAATCATGGTAAAGAAAGTGAGAAAAGCCACAGACAGGGAGAAAATATTTGCAAATCATATTGATAAAGGATTGGTATCCAGAATATATAGAGAACTCTTTAGGAAGAAGACAGTTCAAGTAAAAGTGCGAATATTTGAGTGCAAATATTAGAAAATGCTCTTCAGAAGATATACAAATGGCCAATAAACACAAAAAGATGCTTAACATCATTAGTCAATAGGAAAATGAAAATTACAACTGAGATACTACTTCCCAGTCATCAGCATGACTAATCCCCCCCCCCCAAAAAAAGGCAATGGCAAATGTTGGTCAAGGTGTGCAGAAGGTGCTGCAGGCCCTCTGGATAACAGTTTAGCATGTTCTTTAGAAGTTAAATGTAAATTTACCATAAGACCCTAGGCTCCTAGGAATATAAACATGAGAATTGAAAAAAAAATATACATATATTTACAGAAAATCTGTAAAGATTTTATTTAACTTTAGAGAGAGGGGAAGGGAGGGAGAAAGAGAAAAACATCAATGTGTGGTTGTCTCTCGTGCGCCCCCTACTGGGGATCTGACCTGCAACCCAGGGATGTGCCGTGACTGGGAATCGAACCAGCAATCCTTTGCTTCGCAGGCTGGTGCTCAACCCACTGAGCCACACCAGCCAGGGTAGCATTGTTCATAATAGCCCCCAAATGGAAATAATCCAAATTTCCATCATCCAGTGGATGGACAAACAACATGGTGTATCCACAAAATGAAACACTACTCAGAAGGAATGAACTGATAACATGCATGCTAGAACATGGATGAACCTCAAAGACATGGAAAATGAAAGAAGCCAGATGGAAAATAACATATATGATTCCACTTATATGAAACAGCCTAAAAATGGAAAAGAAGAGATGGAAAATTACTGTTTTTGGGGAGGGGAAGGGGGGTGTGGGGCTAGGAATGGAGACCTGCCAGTGCACACTAGGAGTCGTTGGCATGGGGGAAATGTTAAAAATTCCATTGTTGTGATGGTCGAGCAACTAACTTTATTAAAGTGAATTGTTCACTTAAAATAGGTGATTTTGTGATACCTACATATAAGTTATACCTTAATATAGCTGTTAGGAGACTCCTGATAGGGGACCTGAATTCTAAATAGAAGGAAAGGAGGGAGGAAGTATTTGTGATTCTGAGTTTGGGCTGATGCCTAAGAATTTGTTTCTGACAAGCTTCCAGGTGGTATTTATATTTGGGGGTGGCCTGGATGGTAGTGTTTTAATGAGCTGACCTTCATTTGAATGAGACAGACTGATCTCCACAATTGGTGAGCATTTTTGTGCTCTGGGTCAAATGCTGGGGAATAGTGTCAGGACTATAATCATGAAAAACTGAAGTGTCTCTTTTTAGGAAAATACCTGGTGGGAACCAGAAGGTCATCCCAAGTGGACACTCTTGCTGAAAAGCTGATAGGAAGGAAGAGCAGTAAAACAAGAAAAGCAGCTCTATGTACTCTCATTGCTGGGTGGCTCTGGGCCCAGGCAGAAGCAGGCTTCGGGAGGCTCCTTGGTTGTGATGTGCTTGGCAGCTTGGGGAACAGCAGTGGTTGTGCAGTGAGTCTGGGCTGTGCGCCTGCAGGTCACCAGAAGCTAAAAGAAGGATCTTGGCCTGGAGGTGGTCCCTTTTTATGCTAACTGTGATTCTACCTGGAGACCAAGGGAGGGGGACTCAATCTCGACGAGGAGATATGCCCATGAGAAGGGCAGAAACAGTTAAGAGGCACAGCCAGCAGACCAAAACAGGAATGTGAAAAAAACAAAACAGCTGAGTATGAGAACTGGTGCACTTTATTTTCACTTCCCATAGTTTGTTACCTGAAATCTTATGCTTTTTTAGACTAGGCTAGCTGGGAATTAATCGTGTGTGCCACGCTTTGGAACCTGGCATCCGTAAGGGTAAGGACAAATGGAGAGGCGGACCCAGGTCACCCAGGCTGAACTGAGAACCCTTCCTGTTGCCTCACTCAACAAGAAGCGACCAGGGAAGTCCTTTTAAAGACTGGTTGAGAAGGCCCTCTAGAGGGAGCTAGGGAATGAGCCTAACTGTGCCTTCCTCCTCCAGGCACGTGTGAGTTCTTGAGGATGAAGTTCCCTCCTCCCCTCACACACACTCAGAGCGGCCACAGGAATAGGGATCCCTGGTGAGGAGGGATGTCCACTCGAGGGTCTCTACTAGGACTCCCTGGAGGAGCGGAAGGGCTGCTCTGGCTTCAACAGTGCGAGAGTGGGGGCGGGCGGGGGGGGGGGGGGCGGTGCCTAGATGCGCTGCTCTGGGGAAACAGACACCAACCCCTCCTTCAGCACAGAGTATTTATGCAAATAATTGGAAATTTCATCCTTGGGTGTGTAGCACTAAAAGGAATGTTCTCTATTTTGCTCACTGCTGTGGTTTAAAAAACAAAACAAAAAAACCAAACAGATCAAAATACTGTCTTGATAGTTTAGGGACATTCCATTCGTCTTATTTCTGAAATTTAACAAGTCATGGGCTTCCACATGCAAGATTTATGATGTCCACAACTCCTCGTTTTTTTCCCCCTTCAATTTGCCTGTAAATTCCTATTCTAAGACGACTGTGAATGAGGCCTTGGTAGCGCCCTTCATGGATCATCATCCGCCCCCCATCGTAATTCCCACTTAGCCCTGGCTGTCAAGTGCACTTACACAACCGACCCAGTAGGTAGTGCATAGTGTCTTCGCGTCAGTCTCCTGCCTCAGGAAAGCGGGAGGGGACGGACAACCGCGACTCGAAGGACACCAGCCTTCACCGCTCATTCAAACAGCCTCTCGCTCAGGTTCCAGCCTTCCATCCCCAGAGCAAGCACAACGAATTTCCTTCGTTCACCTCGTTCCTCCCCGCCACCGCGCCCCACTCCCCGGGGCCCCCCGGAAGTTAAGCTCCTCCTCGAGACGGGGAGTGGTGGAGACTACGCGCCCTCGGAGCCTGAGGGCAGGATGGGATCCTATCCTATTTCCATGTTTGATGTTCATCATGAACTTTTTGGGCATTAATTCTGAATTTTTGAAATACTGCATTATAGTATTATTTTTCTGGATCACTGAGTTTAATGGCGCTACCTTAAATTCTGTGCCCACGGGAGTGTCTCTTCCGCCGCGTCAGGGAGTTGGGACTATTTGGTCCCAGGGCATCCAGCAGTGCCGGATACTTTAATATTCTGCTTCTTAAATAAATTGTTCTTTAAGAACCTACCCCAATTACTTGCAGGACTCCAGGACCCTCCCAGGCCGGGCGCAGGCCGTCTAGGCAATCCGGAGAGATTACAGGGCACATCTCTCCACTGCCCCGCCATTGCTGCTCCTGACTGAACCTCCCTGGCGCTTCCAGGTGGGCAGAACACCTGGGGCAGGTGGGGCGAGACGGAACGCAGGATGGGAGCGAGGAGGTAGAGATGCGGGGTGGGGGACTCCGCGCTAGGGCACGGTGGGCTCCCCGCACGGGGAGCTGGGAGGGGAAAGCGCAGAGGTGGGAGAGCTTGGAGACAGCCCCGGAGCCGGGGGCGGGGCGCGGCGGGGCGGGGCGCGGCGCGGCAGGACCGAGAGTGGCGCTGAGGAGGAGAACGTGGGGCGGGACACAAGGGTATGGGGAGAGCTCTGGGGCGGGAGGGTGCGACTTGGCTCCCTGGAGGCCAGTGCTGCAGCGGTTCCAACTAGGGTCGCTAGTGTTTGTGAGTTTTCTCCGCCTCTTCTCCGCAGGTGCTGAGGCCAGGGAGGGTCTTGCGCAGTCCAGGGGGCAGGACGTGCGAAAGGAGACGAGCCACCGCTGCCAGCCTGCCAGTGGCCCTTTACCTGCGCTCATTGCCCCCTCCTCCCTCCTTTTCTCTCCGCAGGTGTGCTTCTCCACAGGTGTCCCAGGGCAGGCCATGGTGGACGTGCTGGGCGGGCGGCTCCTGGTGACCCGCGACGGTGCGTGGGTGGAGGCTGAGGCAGCTCTGCAGAACAAGGTGGTTGCGCTATACTTCGCTTCGGCCTGTTGCGCGCCCAGCCGCGACTTCACGCCGCTGCTCTGCGAGTTCTACGCGGATCTGGTGGAGCGGGCGCGCCCGCCCGCGCCCTTGGCTGTGGTCTTCGTCTCCGCCGACTGCAGCGCACAGGAGATGGAAGACTTTTTGCATCAGCTGCCTGGCGCCTGGCTGGCGCTGCCCTTCCACGACCCCTACCGGCAGTGAGTGTGACCCGGGTTGGAATTCGCCAGCGAGTCCCCGGAAGCCCGAGCCCTGTTCCTGTTCCCGCAGTGGGAAGCTTTCCTCTCCTCAGACCCCCTATCCCGGGTCAGGCCGCTCCAGGATACCTTCGTAGTCTGCTCCGGTTCCTCGGGAGGCTATAGCAGCTGGCAGACTGGAGCAATCCCTTCCCCGCGGATCTCGGGGTGTCCCGAGGCCCTATCTCAGAGGGTCTGCTCAGGCGAAGCTGCGGTTCGAAGAGCAAACCCTGAGCCCCGCAGCCCCTGGTGCCCCGCCCCACTTGCACAGGGCGGACCCCAAGTCTGAAGAGCAGGAGAAAGGACTTGGGAGGGCGCTCTGGTCAGAACTGGGGACCATGGCGGGGTGGGGGGTGGAGGTGGGGCCGGGCTCTGACCAGGCCAGCAGTGCAGGAACTAGGGGTGAGATGCGGAGGGCGGGGGTGGTGGTGGTGGTGGTGGTGGTGGAGGGAACTGGCTGGAACTCCAGGTGGGAGGCACCCAGTGCTAGCCACGCTGCAGTTTCATTGTTACTGCCAATGCCTGGAATTTCCTAATGGCAAAGGCAATTTCTGCACCGTCTGTAGGGGAACCAGATTCCTGCACTAACTGTAGGGGAAACCTGCAGAGGCAGAAGTCAGAAGTGACACAAATCCTTGCTTTGAGGGAACTCATCCGGTTCCTAGCATTAGAAAAGAAGTGAGAGGGCGAAGACCCTCAGCTTTGTTGGATTTCAGAGTTTGTGACTGAAGGAGAACTTGAACCCGTAGTTCTCCATCAGCTGTGATCAGGGGCTCCGCGGAGGGAAGGAGGGTGGACTCGGGTAAAGAGAGAGAGGATGGAAAGAGAACTTGGGTGTGGATTGGCAGAGAGGGAATATGACCTGGGCCCCAATGTCAGCCTCTTGGGGTCTCCTGTGACACAAGCGTCCAGCCTTGGGTTTAAATCACACTTTGTGAAGTGCATTACCGCACCATCTCCTTAACAGACGCAGAGAACTTCTGTGCTTTGTTTTTGCAGGGGAAAGTTTTGCATTTCTCCGGGACTTATTATTTAGTTGTGGCATTAACTCCCAAATTAATTGTCCTGAGAGGACATTCCTTCTGGACAATTAAAAATGAAAGCTATCTTTGGAAATCCCATTTCCCCAACACCTGCTTTTGGTGATGCTGAGGAAGAGATGAGGTGGGCAAGCCTGCTTCTCTCACAGCAGGAGTAGCAAAGTCAACAGATTATGGGTCCAAATGAGCATGACTTACTTGGCAAAAGGATGCATTATAGCATCACATCTAGAACTGGGTTGTAAAATGGGTTTGATTTCTTTAGTACTCAAGTTATACACAGCTTTTAAAAGAACACAGTTTTGAAAGTGACAGTAATCATGCCAAGAGCTCAGGCTCCCCAGCAGAGCCCAACTCTGGGAATCACTGGTAGGGTGATGAGAGGCAAGGCATGAATTGCTGAGCAGAATGATGCATCACAATCAGAAGTTCCTTCTGTTTCACCTATTATCTGGTGGGAGCCAATGAAGCCCCTCAGTCGGCTGAGCAGCCCAGGCTCTGGAGGCATGTGGCCTCACTGGGCAGTCTCAGGTCAGGAACCTGATTTCTTGAGGGATCTAGCCTCAGGTCTTTCTTTTGGGGATATTAGCTCCTTGTCCCTACCCCTTTCCAGACTGCACTTCATTGACCTTGTCATTGCTGTTTGTACATTCAGAAAGAGGTTTTTTGTTGGGATTCTTAGAGCTGTGCCCTCAGTTCTGCTACCCTAGCCTGCATTCATGGAATCAGAAGAGGTGCAAAATGGAAGTAGCCGCCACCAAGGAGAACTAAGGAATGTAGGAAGCATCCAGGCAGCAGAGGGGGAAGATCCTAATGTGTTCAGAATCGAGCATTCTGCTTGGTGCTGTGGTAAGGTGGAGCTGGGACAATAACCTCCTGGGCTCCTTGGGTCATGGTGAAGGCCCTGGGCTGTCTTCCCTCAGTGGCTGCCCGCCAGATTACTGAGGATGGCAAGTCTGGGGAGGAAGAGAGGAACTCACCACAGAGCATCTGCAGGGTCACTTTGGCATGGCTGGTGGTCGACCACTGCAAAATGCCCCTGCAGGAAGAAAATGCCTGGAGTTGTCCATATTGTCCTCAGAGTTGCTTAGATCTTGGCTTTGCTGTGCAGCCCCTACAAAACCTGTGTGAGTGATGCCCTTCTGCCTGGACAGGGACAGGTTTCCTGGCACTCCTCCAGAGGCAGCATGGGAAAGGCGAAGGGCTGACTTTCCAGGCCTGGACATGGGGATAGTGCCAATGACAGGCCATTCTGCCCAGCTTCCTTCCCTTTGTTATGGGCCCAAGAAAGAAGTAACAACTAAATTTGCCAGCAGGAATTCCTGTCACATGCTGCTGTGCAGCTGACACCTGCTCCTGTTGATGTCACATAGGTTTTATGATTGTTTCTTAACAACACTCATGCTCACTTGGGCTCTGGAACCTCACCAGAGCCCAGTGAGGCCTGGAGTAGACTCCCCTTACTGTTCTAGTTCTCACCACTGCCTGCAGCCATAGGCCAGGTGGATGGAGCACTTTAGCTTCCAGTTCAACAGGTTTGGATTAGATGGAAAATAGCTGGCTGTGGCTTCATTTCCTGGGTAGAAAGCAGTTCCATTAGCAATATCAGTGCCCTGGGGTAGACTTAGTGCATGTGCCAAGCTGCTCAATTCTGCCCTCTCCCCTGGGAGTCCAGCTCCTCCTGGACTTACTGATTCAACACATCCCTGTCGGGCCCTGAATTGGCTAAGCCTATGCCTCTCCAGTCCTTTCCTTCTTTCTCCTCCTTTCTACTTTCTTCACTTTCATCCTTATTGTTAGAATATTCTAACTGGCCCCCCTAGACGTTGTGTCTTCATTTGATGGATTCCTTTTCTCACATCTCCTTCATCATATCATAGACAGGCATGGTACTGCCATGCCCTACCCCAGCTCTCCAGTAGTTTTCTGAGTTCCTGTTGCCCACAGGGTTCATTCTACATCTTGCCCTGCCCTCTAGTCTTTGGCTGCATTTGTCTCCCACCCCCACCCTTTCCACCTGTGTTCTGTCCAGATCAGACAACTGAAGTTCCAGAATACTTTGCACATTTTCCCAACTCTAGAGGTTGTACATACCATGTCCCCATAATGCTGGAGCCACCCTGGCAGTCCCTCCTCCATGCCCCCGGGGACACTGGGAGCATTTCTGGCTTGGGAGGCCTTTCCCCTTCATAGCTTGAGTCTAACAGCACCCTGTGTAGGAGTGTGCGTTTGGGGCTCTCTGTAGCCCCTATTGTTGGACTTGACATTGTTCAGTGCTTGGTGTCTACAGGGTGCTTGTTAGGTACATGATTGGAACAGGAAGAAAGATTTGCTCTGTAGCAGTCCGCTAGTGGCCAAGATGGAAAGGGACTGGAGCCAGAAGTTGCCATGGCAACCCAGAAGTGGTTGTGCCAGGCAGGGACAGTGAGGCACTGCTTTAGGTGAAGGGAAGACATCAGTGTTGCAACAGCACCCAGCACTGAGAGCAAGGAGGAACAGGCCTCTTAGATTTCCTGAAATGGTTAAAATGCTCATTTACCACAACTTCCCTCTGCCCAGTGACAAGGTTCTCTCCTTTCCAAGCACAGACTATTCTCTCTGGACACAGCTCAGCCACCAGAGGGATCAGATGACTCCAGGGGAGGAAGGTGTGGTTCCAAGGTTACAGTTGTCCCCAGGCAGAGTTTGCTAGGTTGGGGATTTGAAAGCCCAAGTAGGTGACTCTTTCAAGATAAGCTGGAGCAACAAAATGTCTACTCCAAACCTCTTCTGTGTTCCTAAAAGCCCAGTTTGCCTAGCATCCCCCTGACTATCAGGGCTTGATTTAATGTTGCAAATGATTAAAACAACACCAAATCCAGGCTTAAACAAATGAAAGATATCCATCAGCTTAACTGGAACACCAGTAGGCTGGTCTGAGGAAGCAAGGAGGCTACTAAGGATAGTTTTGCAGCTCTGCCTTTGGCTGGCTGTTTTATGCTTAGGTTGCAGCTGGAGGCTGGCTAATAAATCCAGTCTCTCCTCATGAAAAGAGTGGCTGTGGTATCTTGGGCTACTCATTCTTATACCTTCCTCTTTCCCAGCACTCAAGCAAGTGCTCCACAAAGTCTCACCAGTTGAGCCTGTTAGTTACCCATTCTCATGCTAGTTGAAATAGCCAAGGGCAAAGACTGGGCACCTGGCCCAACTGGAATTGGGGCCGCATCATTCCCACTGAGGGAGAATAGCCAGTGTTTTTTGAGCACTTACTATGCACCAAGCCCTTTGCTAAGCTACATATGTATTAATCATTTCATCTTCACAACTGGGGGTTCTGTTATTCTGCAGCACAGGTGAGCTATCTGGGGTGTAGGGAGGTTAACTAACTTGTCCAAGTGACACAGGTAGTTAATGCCAGAAAGTGGAAAGGCATGCTTTCCAAGGGTGGGCCAAGGGTGCTGAGCAGCAAGCCATAGATCTCTACTACCCTGGCTGTCTAGGGCACTGTCCTCAGCTCCTGCCTGCTCTCCCCAACACTCCTGGCCTCTAGGTCCGTGGATGGGAATGTGGAAGGCCCTGGAGGTTAGGCAAACTTGGGCAAATGGGCTTCACTGTCAGGGATGCAGATTGCATTTCTGACCGGTTCCCAGGTGATGCTGCTGCTGTTGGTCAGGGATCTCACACTCCAAGATGCTGCTGTTCCAGACATGCTGCCCAAAGGTGGGACCTGGAGCCATAGTGACTGCAGTGCTGGAATCTGACAGGGATGCACATGCTGAGTCATGCCCCTGGTGGGCTCAGGATTTCCAGGTTCCCCTCATCACCCTCCAAAGGCCACCTAGTCTTCTTGCGGGTAAGCCCCAGGCCCTGGGTGGAAAAGACACAGGCCAGACCACGGCTTCCCTTCCTGGCTGCATGCCTGCCCCCACTGCCCAGAGTCAGGTGCTGACATAACCCAGTTGCCCACATGGCCACAGAGAGCTTCAATGAGGCCTCTGGTCATGTCCCTGAGCTTTTGTGCAGAGAGCCTTTTGGGTTGTTCCTCTTTAATATTTTTGTTTTATGCCTTTGGGGAAAGCTAGTTCCTTAGGCATTTCAAAATTCAGGGGTTGTGCAGGGTTTTTAAATACTGAAGAGGGTCATCTCCTCTGTCACATCTCTCATCAGCCCCACCTGAGTTCCCAGACCACCGTGGCTTTTCGGGGTGGATCCATTTGTGCCCTCAGTCTGCAGTTTGATGTGGTTTGGGTTTTTCAGGCCTGTAATGCGGTTTCAGCAGGGCTGTCTCTATCATGTCTTTCTCATTATGCATGATTGTTTTCCTATAATAGTTCACATATTTTTTTTCCCCACTTATTTCTTTTTCCTCTTCATGTAAGTAGTGGACATGTGTGGACTGGCTTCCAGAAGCTGCTGGAGTGGCAGTCACATTCAAGGTTTCCTCAGGGAATAAGCCATCTGGGGATTGCTGAATGTTCCTAGAGCGACAGTGGCATCTGCCTGTGCCCCTGCCTGAAAGAACCCCTGATTTCTGATATTCTTGTCTTCCCTTCTCCTTAGCCCAGTTTTGATAGAGATTTACTCCAGTTTTTAGTCTTTCCTAACAAGATAGTTTGATTTTATTGCTCACCCTATTTAGATTTATTTCCTATTTCAGTGATTTCTGTCCTTAAACTTCTTTTGCCTCTTTCCACCTTCCTTAAGTTGGCTACATCATTGTTTTTCTAGCCTCTTAAAATAAATACAGAACTGGTCGATCTAGAGGCCTTCTACTTTTGGATAAGGATGTTTAAGAACAGAGCTTCCTGTGTCAAATTATATCTCCAGCTTGGGATCTGTGGTATACTCCATATTATTTCATGTTAATTATTTTGTAGTCTGCATTGCTATTTTACATTTAATATATATGGTTATTTAGTTTTTAAGCTCATTGCAAAAAAGTGTTTTTTATTGGTTTCTAATCCCATTTTATTATGGTCTGATCGAGTGGTCTCTGTACTACTGGTTATTTGAAATTCAGTAAGACCCCCACTCTGATGGAGAGCACAGCCAGTTTGTCACTCTTTCACTGGTGTTTGAAAACAAGGTATATTCTCCCTGTTGGATATAGGTGTTTTTCTGCTTGAGTTGAGACTTGTCTTTGACCTGGAAAACACTGGGAAGACCTTGATGGAGCTGTTGGTGGAAGATTTGGTAACATGAGGGTCTCAAATGCATTCTCCTCCACTCAGGTTCACCGCCCTGAGGCTGACAGAGGAGGGAAATCAGATTACCTTTGACATTGATGTGAGGCCCTTGCAAGCTGGCCAGGGACACAGAAGGGGGATTTTCATCAGCTGCCCTGACCTGAGAGTAGTAATCCCCATCATGGGGAGATTTGGAAAACTAAGGAGGACACTCCTTTCCCTGAATAAACACAAGTCATTTTGTAAACAGGCCTCTTATGGGGTTGCACTCGAAATGTTTCATCCATAATGTTAATCAGCATGACCTTGGATTTGTAGGGCAGAATGTCGAATAAGGCTTTGCATTTATTTAGAACTCATGAAATTTTAACTTTTACCATCCTATATACATGCTATTTTCAACCTCGAGATGTAGAAAGGGATATAAATTTATTGGGTTTGTGGGTTTAAAATTGCACTGTGCAATAGGAGAGCCGCAAACCACATGTGGCTTCCTAAATTTAAATGAAAGATTCAGTTCCTCAGTCACAGCAGTCACATTTTGAGGACTCATTTGTCCCTTGTGTCTGTGGCCATGGACTTGGGCGGCACAGACACAGAGCAGTCCCACCACTGTACACTCCTCTGGGAGAGCACTGGTGTGGAACTGATAACAGGAAAGGAAATAGGCTCAAAGGGGACCCGAAGCATACGAGGAGGGCACGGGCAGGTTGGGTTCTGAGGCTGTGTAGGGTTGGCTCGTGAGCATAGGAGAGGCCCCAATCCCTTTAGAGGTGTGGCAGCAGATACCTCACCCCTGTGCTGACCCCTGGCCTGTCCTCTTCTCTCCTGCAGTGAGCTGAGGACCAGGTACCACATCACAGCCACCCCCAAGCTTGTGATCCTGAAACCCAGTGGGGAGGTCATCACCAACAAAGGGCGCAAGCAGATCCGGGAGCGAGGGTGTGCCTGCTTCCAGGACTGGGTACAGGCCGCCGAAGTCTTTCAGAACTTCTCTGGCTGAAGTGGGGGATCTCTGGGGACCTGGACAGGCGTGAAACACACTGGCTCTGCAGCAAAGTTATGAGGACAAGAGAAGTGGGTGGTTCAGTGTATGTCAGAGCAGAAGCACTCAGCTGTGGCAGAAACACTGCTCAGGAAGCATGCCCTCCTGTTCAACTCCCCTGGCCTGCTTATAGCTATTTTTATTCTCAGCACAGCATTCTCCACATGAGCTTAGCTGTGTTTACATTGAGCTGTTGGAAATCTATGCAAAACATGTATTGATACAAGCTCTTCAGGTACAGTAATATATAAGTTGATACATTTTCTGTAGCTCAACTTATTATAGAGATATACTTAACTACAGTTATTGCTAAAGTTTGACAAATCTATATGCTTTAATAAATAAGCCTGTTTCCACTGGAGCCCTCTGATTTCCATTTTCTCCTGGTGAACCAAGTGCTCTTAAGAGGAGAGTGAAGCCCTTGGGGAATACTGTTCTCAGTTTAATTATGAGTCTTCTTGGGATTTTTTTTCTTTTCTCTTTTTTTTGTTTCTCACATTTAGTTTTAATAGTATCATAATAGCCTAGAAATACGTGAAAATATCAAGGCTGTATAGTCACGTCTTCAAGGTCAAACCTCAACATCTCCTAAAAGGTGCTTATGGATCCTCATGAACAAGAACCCACACACAGTATTTGAAAAGAGCAAGAGAGGAGCCATCAGCGTTCCACTTTCCCTTTCCAACAGTGTTTTGATCCAGATGATTTGGATCATGAAATACCAACACCTACCTCTAGCCCAGTCCTCATCGGCAGCCCCACTCAGCTCACTGGGTCCCTCAGCTGGGAATTGGAGCATACCTGTTCCTTGTAGGACCCAGGAATCCCCAACTTCCTCTAATAGGAGTTAGAGGAAGTGGAAGAGTGCGGGGAAGAGTGAAGAAGGCCTTGGGTTCCTTTGGTAAACCAGCAGGTGAGAGCTGAGTCCCTAAGGGTAAGACCATATTGTTGGCTTAATCAGAATGGAGCTGTGGGCTCCATGGCTCAGTCACTTTGACCTCTCTCCCCTATCCTCTATCAGTCAGGTTTTACAACAATGACCCATCATCATTGGGGTCCATGAATTGACTAAAAATGTAGTTAATGGAGTTGACCTGGTCATTATTTGCCCCAGAAATAAAGCATATAGGGATGCAGTTCTCTTTCTAAAACAACAAATGAGATATTTATTTCATTGTGGTATTTTTCCTGCTTTATTGAAATATATATTATACAATAATTAACATTGTGTAAGTTTAAGATGTACAACACGTTGATCTGATACATTTATGTATGACGAAATGATGATCGCCACAGCTCAGCCAACACCTCCATCCTGTCACATGGTTACCATTTCTTTTTTGTGGTGAGAACATTTAAGATCTAATTATGGTACTTTTTAAAATTATTTTTTATTGTTATTCTATTATAGTTGTCCCAATTTTTCCCCTTTTGCCATCCTCTTCCCCTCCCAACCCCTGCTCTCGTGGTCAATCTCCACCCTGTTGTCCATGTCTGTGGGACATTCATACATGTTCTTTGTTTAGTCCCTTTCCCTTCTTTCCACCACTATCTCCCTCCTGCGTCCACTCTGGTCACTTTCCACCTGTTCTCTGTTTCCATGCCTGTGGTTCTATTTTGTTTATTAGTTTATTTTGTTCATTAGGTTCCTCTTACAGGTGAGATCATATGGTATTTGTCTTTTACCGCCTGGCTTATTTCACTTAGCATAATAGTTTCCACTTCCATCCATGCTGTCACAAAAGGCAGGAGTTCCTTCTTTTTTTCTGCTGCATTGTATTCCATTGTATAAATGTACCACAGTTTTTTGATCCACTTGTTTATTTGTTGGGCACTGACCAATATCCCTTGTTGGGCACTGAGGCTGTCTCCAGCACTTGGTTATTGTAAATAGCACTGCTATGAACATAGGGGTGTATAAGTTCTTTTGAATTGGTGATTTGGGATTCTTAGGGTATATACCCAGTAATAGAATTGCTAGGTCAAAAGGAAGTTCCATTTTTAGTTTTTTAAGGAAATTCCATACTGTTTTCCACATTGGCTGCACCAGTCTGCATTCCCACCAACAGTGTACTAGGGTACCATTTTCTCCACAGCCTCACCAACACTTATTGATTTATTAATGATGGCCATTCTGACAGGGGTGAGGTGATAACTTATTGTGGTTTTAATTTGCATCTCTCTGATGCCTAATGATGTTGAGCATCTTTTCATATGTCTATGGGTTATCTGTATGTCCTCCTTGGAGAAGTGTCAGTTCAGATCCCTTGCCCATTTTTAAATTAGATTGTTTGTCTTCCTGGTGTTAAGTCATATAAGTTCTTTATATATTTTTCAAGTTAAACCCTTGCCCGATGTATCATTGACACATATGTCCTCCCACATATGGTTGTTCCCTTTTCATTTTGATGATGGTCTCTTTAGCCATACAGAAGTTTTTGGTTTGATGTAGTCCCATTTGTTTATATTTTCATTTATTTACCTTGCCCTAGGAGATACATCAGCAAAAATATTGCTACGGGGGATATCTGAAATTTTCCTGCCTGTGTTTTCCTTTGCAACTTTTATTGTGTCATGACGTATTTAAGTCTTCTATCCATTTTGAGTTTTTTCTGGTGTATGGTGTAATTTGAATGTCTAGTTTAATTTTTTTTTCCATGTACCAGTCCAGTTCTCTCAACACCATTTATTCAAACAGTTATCTTTACTCCACTGTATGCTCATGCCCCCTTTGTCAAATATTAATTGACTGTAGACGCTTGGGTTTATTTCCAAATTCTCTATTCTGTTCCATTGATCTGTGTGTCTGTTCTTATGCCCATACCAGACTGTTTTGATTACAGTGGCCTTGCACTATAGTTTGATGTCAGGTATTGTGATCCCTCCTACTTTGTTCCTGTGCCTCAAGATTGCTGAGGCTATTCAGGGTCTTTTCTGGTTCCATGTACATTTTTTAAGTATTTGTTCTATATCTATGAAATATGTCATTCATATTTTAATAGGGATTGCGTTGAATCTGTAGATTGCTTTGGGTAGCATGGGCATTTTAGTGATGCTAATTCTTCTAATCCATGAGCACGGCATATGCTTCCATTTATTTGTATCTTCCTTAATTTCTTTCTTCAATGTTGTGTAGTTTTTCAAGTACAGGTTTTTTACCTCCTTGGTTAAATTTATTCCTAGATACTTTATTTTTCTTGTTGCTCTAGTACATGGGATTTTTTCCCTAGTTTCTCTATCTGATATTTCATTGTTGGTGTACAAAAATGCCATTGATTTCTGATTATTGAGTTTATATCCTGCTATTTTGCCAATTTCACTTATTAGGTTAAGCAGTTTTTTGATGGAGACTAATGGGGTTTTCTTTGTACACTATCATGTTGTCTGTGAATAATGACAATTTTACTTCCTCCTCTCCAGTTTGGATGTCTTTTATTTCTATTTCTGGTCTGATTGCTGTGGCTTGAACTTCCAGTACTATATTGAATAAGAGTGGTGAAAGTAGATGTACTTGTCTTATTCCTGATCTTAAGAGGAAAGCTTCCAGTTTTTGCCCATTGAGTATAATGTTGGCTGTAGGTTTCTCGTATATGGTTTTGATTATGTTGAGATATGCTCCCTCTATTCCCACTTTGTTGAGTGTTGTTCTAAATTGATGCAAGATTTTGTCAAATGCTTTTTCAGCATCTATTGACATGATCATGTGATTTTTGTCCATTTTGTTTATGTTATGTATTACACTTATTGATTTGCAAATATTGTACCATCCTTGCATCCCTGGGATGAATCCCATTTGTTCATGGTGTACGATCTTTTTAATGCATTTCTGAATCTGGGTTGCCAATATTTTGTTGAAGATTTTAGCATCTATGTTCATCAGAGATACTGGTCTGTAGTTTTCTTTCTTTCTTGTGTCTTTACCTGGTTTTGGAATTAGGATGATACCAGCCTCGTAAAAAGAGTTTGGGAGTCTTCCCTCTTCTAGAATTTTTTGGAATAGTTTGAGAATGATAGGATTTAGTTCTTCCTTAAGTGTTTGGTAAAATTAACCTCTGAAACCATCCTGTCCCAGGGCTTTTGTGTGCCAGGAGTTTTTTGATTACTGCTTCAATCTCACTAGCTGTTATCGGTCTATTCAGGCATTCTGCTCCTTCTTGATTCAGTTTTGGAAGGTTGTATGTTTCTAGAAATTTGTCCATTTTCCTCAGCTTGTCCAATTTCTCGGCATATAGTTGTTCATAGTAATTTCTTACAGTCCTTTGTATTTCTATGGTATTGGTTGTAACTGCGTATTTCATTTCTGATTTTATTTATTGGGTCCTCTCACTTGTTTTCTTGATGAGTCTGGTTAAAGGTTTGCCATTTGTTTACCTTTTCAAAGAACCAGCTCCTGGATTTATTGATCCTTTTATTTGTTCTTTCAGTCTCTATGTCATTCAGTTCTGTCCTGATCTTGATTATTCCTTCCTTCTACTCACTCTGGGTATTGTTTGCTGTTGTTCCTCTAGTTCTTTTAGTTGTAGGATTAGGTTATTTGTTTCACATTTTTATATCTTCCTTACGTAGGCCTGTATTTCTATGAACGTCTCAGTACTGCCTTCACTATGTCCCATAGGTTTTGGGTTTTTGTGTGTTCATTTTCATTTGTTTCCAGATACTTTTTGATTTCTTACTTGACCTCATTGTTGACCCATTCATTATTTAATAACATGTTATTCAGTCTCCATGTATTTGAATGTTTTTGAGTTTTTTCCCTGAGGTTTGTTTCTAGTTTCAGTCTATTTTGATCTGAACATATGCTGGATATGATTTCAATTTTCTTGAATTTGTAGAGGCTTCTTTTGTGTCCTACTATGTGGTCTATTTTTGAAAATGTTCCATATGCATTTGAAAAGAATGTGTATTTTGCTTCTTTTGAGTGAAAGGTTCTGTATATATCTATTAAGTCTATTTGATCTAGAGTGTCATTCAGTGCCACAATATCCTTGTTGACTCTTGTTTAGAAGATCTATCCATTGTTGACTGTGGGGTGTTAAAATCCCTGCTGTAAGTGTGTTGTTGCCTCTATCTTTCTCATGGTTTTCCAATATTTTCTTTATATATTTAGGTGAACCTATGTTGGGTGCATATGTATTTACAAGGGTTATATCCTACTGTTGGACTATTCCTTTTAGTATTATGAAGTGACGTTCTTTACCCCTTTCTGTGCCTTTTGTTTTGAAGTCTAT